GGGGGCGACTCCGCGAGCAGGACCGTTCCGCAGTTTCCCCCCGCTAATCTTCGATGACGATGGGCTCCTCGTTAACGGGGTGCCGCAGCTGCAGTGGAGTTTCCAGGTCCGACTGGACGTGCTTGATGCAGATCTGCTTGTAAGGCTGCCTGGCGGCTCTCTTGATGTCAAACGAGGCGAGGAGTTTACGGACTTTCCTGCACCCCAAAAAAAAAAAAGGAAGATGGAGATAACCTGGCGGGGAGCACCAAAGGGCCTGTCCTGTAATCTCAACAGCTGCACCTGCCGTATTGTTAAAAAAGAAAAATGCACCGCAGTTTGAAATCCAAAAATGTTACTGGGTGCCCTAAGAACACCAACAGTTCTTCAGTAAAAGCAATTTAAAAAATAATGCTGGGTTATAGAAAACTAGCAGTTTCTGCCAATGGAAAGAGCTGATCGGCAAGGACTTGAAAATATGAAAGCAAAGACTCGGAAATGACACAGCCCAGCATGTAAAATATTTGCTGCAGTTTTTGTCAAGCAAAACACGACCAGTATGCAATCCAATAGCGTGTTGTATTCAGACATCAAAGAGAAATATATTGTGATGTATAATATCACATATATTGTGATATTCGTAGGCTTTAGCTGCACAGGCGTATTCTCTCTCTGGGTACAAAAGTTACTGCAAAAGTGTAAATATATTAAGGATATAAAAATAGGCACAGAGGGGGGAAAAAACAAGTTTCCATTGCACAGCTGTCCTGAACTGATAAATAGCACGCAGACAGAAAAAGGTACCCGTCTATTTAAACACTACTACTTTTAATGCAACCACAAAAATGTCAACCTCCTATTCAGTGTCCCCGTTATTGACAAAGGCAACAAAAAAGACAACACATAAGGACAGCGGTGCAATGAAAACTTCGGAAAGAGTGGCACCGTGTCAGTCAAATTCGGCACAGCTGAGAGTGACATTCATCTTGTAAACATCAGCATGATCTCGTACCCGTGTCTGTTCAGCATCTAAACTGTTTTGAAAATATAAACACCATAATTACAAACACGTAAGGAAACCAAAACTGTGCAACCACTTTCTTACATTTAGCAATAACATCATGCATGTTTCTACCAGATGACATCATACTATGACGGAAACCTATCAGCGATGCGCTGCAGAGGGCCCTTTGAGATGGGTTATTCTTTAAAGTGAGGAAAGCTACTTTCGGTACCTGACCAAAGCATGCGTCTTAAAGGCTGGCTGTGCATTAGCACAGATCGTTTTTGACACAGTGAAAAAGAAAACAGGATTTCAAGCACAACTGTGGATAATGGTTGCCAATTTGCTAAACACAGTAATGTGTTCTTCCTGAGAAATTTTAATTGCAACAATTTTAAGGTTTGGAATTGGCGAGAACCATTCAATTAATATGAACAAAATAATAAGAGAATATTAGAAAAAAAGAGAGAATTGAGAATAAGAGAATACTGACATACACTCATATCCTCCCCATTAATCAAACTCTCTCCATCAACCCAATATAAACTAATATACATCAATCTAATATACAACTCATTTAATCGATAATGTTAGATACTCTGTACATATGCAAAAATGGATTTCACAACTGACATCCTATCCTGTTAAAAGAAGCCTGAATATTTTTTGTAAAGGAGGAAAAAAATCAATTTTCAATTAGATGAAAATCAAAATATTTTTCCCCTCTTTGCGATACTCTGCACTGTTCCAGACATTTCCAATGAAATGTCATGCCCTATTGTAAAATGTTGCTGTAATAGCTCGTGTTACAGCTATACAAGAAAATTAAACAACAAGAGACTGTTCACCAAATGTAATCAATCTCAAACTGCAGTTTTTAATTTCATGCTGTACCCTGCAGAACTTTAAGCTAATGTTTCAGCCTAATCGTTCAGGAAAACCCATTTCAAACCCTTCCTCTAAGGAAGTCACACACTGGCCCAGAACGAGCAATAAATATGACCTGCTTCTCAGTATGCATCACACAATAGAATAGATCCATCACGATCCATCATAGTCAAATCAGCCTATTCAATTGAACCGTAGCATGAAAACAAATTGATCGTAGCAGGCTTCTCTTTGCACGAAGTGTGGCAGGTGTGTGGGACTCATTTAAGATTCAGCCCACGTGACGAGACGTTACCTGGTGTCATTGGTGGCCATGAAGAAGACATCATCAGGAGCGTCGATCCAGTTCATCCTGCGCCCCTTGACCGGTGGCAGGGAGCCCTGCTTCAGCATGCGCTGGCTCCTCTCCAGGGACTTGCCGTTCAGCAGGTAGCTCTTGTTTAACGTAGCCTGGCGAGAAGGGCGGGGGACAGACCGCTTTTAGCTTCAACTCCGGGAACGCAAAAGGTACAAACTGATGGTCAACTGACAAAATTCTCATCATCCTGGTCCTGGAGAAAAGTCTGCAGCTCTATCACCCTGTAATGCACAGCTGGCAGCCCCGTGGAGCTCAGCAGGTGTGAGCCTGGCCAGTACTTGGAGGGGAGACTCGTGGGAAAGCTGAGGCTGCTGCTGGAAGAGGTGTTCGTGGGGCCAGTAGGGGGCGCTCACCCTGTGGTCTGTGTGGGTCCTAATGCCCCAGTATAGTGATGGGGACACTATACTGTAAGAATTATTAGGAGACCTTTACCAGTCATGAACTGGCTTCATCACTCTGTTCTCCTCCCCACTGATAGCTGGTGTGTGGGGAGCATATTGGAGTATGCAGAAAAAGAACTCTGTACGTGTAAGGAATTGATTTATTCATTCTGGTTTCTTTATTCTAGCCATAATCTTCATCAGAGGCTAAACGATTCCCGTTTTCTTTTTGGGGCTTATTTGCTTTCAGCATTTACCAAGGCCACATTGGGATTTGGAATTGGTATTGATACTGTGCCCATTTCAGAACTGCACTCATTCATGTGTGCTGCCTGAAGAGCCACCAACTGGGACCTCTGCAGGAGACAACATTCACTGTTGGGTGTGTCTGATACAGTGTCACTCCCTCTTGAGTGTTTATTATTAATTCATCACCCATGGGGAGCTGTTTCATCAGAAATAACAGCAAGCAAACTGGGCTAGATGACATTCTCTGTGCTAAGGTTGCTGAAATCAGAACCCTTGAAGTTAGGCATTTCTGACATTCAGGACTGAAGAGACGAGCTAAGAGTCGAAACAAGGATGCAGCTCCTTGAAATCCTCAGCTAGCGCTGGAGATTTAAGGCTCAGCTGGAACGAAAACCAACAGACAGTGCTGCTTCAGGACCAGGACTGCACACCACTGCATTAGACACCTTTTACAGCAGCAGTGACTCTTAGAGAACAGGTAGACTGCTAGCGTGCAAGTCTTCATCCCCACACAAAACCCCAAGTGCTTTATTCCAAGTACATTTTAGTTTCAGTACTGCAAAAGTGGAAACTGCTACGTTATACATCACAGGTGTAAAATAATCAAAGAATATAACAAAAACCACAACCCAAAAATGTGCACTTACAAGCATACTTAGTGCAAATGTGAGTAAAAATAAAACAACCAACTGTCCCAGAGTGAGTGAGGGTAACACTTATTACATAAGAGAGCCTTGAGCTTTTCCTTGTCTACCTGTCCCAGCCCATGAGCGACTGGGACCAGTTCCCAGGACAGGGCAGAACAGAGCTACATGTGCCGCACAGGCACTGTCTGGAAAGGCTCTTTGTACGTGAAGAGAGTTTTTACAGAATTCTAAAAGATCTACATATTCCTGGTTGACATATTCTTGACTTCTTAAATGACCTCAACCAGAAGGAGTAGGGTTAGCTGCTTGCTCAGAGTTACAGGCAGTAACTCAGTGGTATGGTTCGCTGTGATTTTCAGGACCCAGTGACTCAGTTTTGTGATGTTTTGTTTTGTTTGTCCATACTTACAATTTGTCTTACTTGACTGTGATTTGGCAGACCTAAAAAGAAAAAAATATATACTTACACACACCAACATTAAAAATAAAAAATAAAATGCTCATAAATGTTACTTTCCTAGCTACGAAACATGGAATAAACCCCTTTTTATTCAATAAAATGGAATTGGATTTCTCTTCTATATAATGGATACATATGTAACAATCGTCAGACTCTTCATGTTACTAGGTTCCGCAAAACAGGAAAACGTAAAGGTTGGTGCCGATCTGAGAATTCAATCGAAGCAATAATCCCTTTCCAAGATCACGGACCACACTTCCTCTTTTAAAGTGACCGAGACGTGAGAGACAATCCACAGTGTGTACATTGAGCCTGGTCTTTTGCAACCCCGCTCGAGAATCTGAAGCTTGCGTCTTAATTAATTGACAGGCATCATCACTGACCCACAAGGCAGTTGCCTCTCACCCCCCTGGGGCATCATCAATAGCTGTATGAAGGAGCTAAGCAATGGACAGCTGGCAGACTTTTCAGTGTTAATCTGTGTGTTATGTAAATCTGAGTAAAAGGCAATTTACAAGGAACATTTTAAAGAGATGAACTACACATCATGGTAATGTATAAAGCTGAAGTCATTACCGAAAGGGAAATGGCTGATTTCTTTAGTGAATATTTATGTCAAGTGTTTACCAATAAAGAAACAGATGTCTCAGGCTGAGGAAAGCGCTCTGTATTAAATCCACAGTACTGGCACTGAAGAGGTAACAATCCTGCAGTACATGTACGAGAATAATCTAGTGATAAAGCCTTCTAAGAGTACAAGTTTAAATTTGATTTAAGTTGCACCTAGTTACAACTCAAAAAGGAGTTGATTATGTGCATATGAATAAGTTGATAGCAAGACGATTACACACAGATTTTCATTCCTCTGGGTTGTCTTTGCATTTTGTTAACTTTATAGTGTTAGAATTTTTCACTTATAACAAAAAAGGCATCAAATCCTTACCTCGCGAAGGCATCAGCAACCGTTTCTTCACATTACCTGACAACATAAAAAAAGAGGATCAGGCCATATTGGAGTCCGGTAGTTCATCTGCGATTGGGAGTACTGGATGGCAGGGGACAGGACACTGGGACACCCCACATGTCACTACGCTACAGCTGGGCGAACTGGATCACATGTGCTTCAAAGCCATTCTGCATTATGGCTGAATGCTGAACGTCTTTGGTAAATAGGAACAAGCTTATGAAATGGAAACTCAATTTTAATAAGCATATCCACTGGGTGTTTTTTTTTTTAAGACCGCTATTGGCCATCCATCCATTTTCAGTAACTGTGTAATCCTTAGACGTGCAATATTCACAGTCTCGCAGTTACTAAAACTTGAGAGACCATCAGTCTAGTCTTGGCTCCTCAGTAGTAGTTCCTGATCCACTCTTAGCTTCTTCAGCGCTTAACATCTCATGGCCTCTGTGATCTACTGCAGCATCACTAGGCTGCGTGTCCTCCTTGAGTGCACCAGTCACCATTTCCCAGTCAAACTTGGCGTTTGAAACATGCAAACTGGAGTTTGCCTCCAGCACCACCAGAGGGCAACGTCGGCTCAGCACAGCCTTCATGCGTCTCCTGCATGGCTTTCACACACACATCTATCTGCAGGGTGGACACCTGGAATGTCGCGGTCATTGTCGACAGGGCTGTGGTCCTTCTGGCCCACTTTGCAGGTGCTCCAGACTTTGTTAGAATTACATGCTTAGCAGGGAACAATACAAAACATCATCTCTGAACATCCCCCAGTTTTCACATAAATAACATCCCTACAGGTCAACTAACTTCACAAGTCCTCTGCTTTAACAGCTGGCACCAGATCACAGCCTCCTAGTGTTAGCCACTCCGATGGGACCATAGTGGCAACACAGTTACAACATACCCTTTCCAGGTGTTCTCAGGACACCTAGGAGTCCCATCACTACTCAGAAGAGGCTTGCGATTGTCCTCGCCAGTGCCAGCCATCACTGACTGCTTTCTTCCCCAGAACAACCCACAGGGGGCGCACTGACCTTCCACGCCATTGTGTTGCTCGTAGCTGCGTTTCCCCAGGATGGTAGTGGAGCCGTGGTTGATGACCGGCGCCACCTTGGCCACGCTGGTGCTCCCAGGGTGCGACGCCAGGCTGACGGCAGGCTTCACCGGCTCGGGCTTCACGTAGGGGTGCAGCTCTGCAGGAGAACGCGAGGAGCGAGGACTCGGTCAGGCACGTGCACAGGCAACGTCTCTGCTTAATGACACCCAGGTCAGTCGGAGGGAGTAATGAAACCAAAACAACCTTGGTTAAGACGTGGAGTGACATAATTGGCCCCAATTATGAGGCAAATTTCAAAGCATCGAGCATGCAATAAAAGCAGATGCAGATACATCAGCATGTATCACCTGGGTATTCACTCTGCACAGATTCAGCATTTCTAAGCAAACCACTACTGAAGCTTGTGGACATCAGGCTGTACCTGTCAAATAAATCCTGCTCTACGATCACGTTTCTGTTTCCCTGACTTAAGCGACGAAAAACATCTTTTTGGGCATCAGCAACGTCACACTTTCTGGACTGCAGTTCTGCTGTTCCTGCTTTGAGAACATGGAGAGAGTGATTCACTGACCCAGGTACTTGACGATCACTTCCAGGGGCTTGCGCGTCGCTGGCTTCAACTTGACGATTTGTTTTTCTGCTTCGGGTAGTCTCGCCGTGCCTGTTTTTGTAATTAAAGAGGATAAAGAACAACCTAAAAACAAGAACTGCCTTCTCACAAAAAAAAAAGATCAATGCTATAATGTCTTCCAGGACATTTCAAAACACGTATGCAGTTCCACTAGGTGTCACCAATAGCTTTACTTTTTTTAAATTTCTCAATTTCCACTTTTTTTTTAATGTTGCATTTACATGGATCTCTGAAAGGTATGCAAATCTTTCCCCCATAAAAACACCACTACATGCAGAAACCAGATAGGACTGGAATCTGGATCACTTCAAGGAAAAATGCCGATGGAGATAGCTGAATTTAACATCAACCTGGGCAGGATAAGGATAGTTTCTGGATGGAACCCGATATTATTTGGGGGGAAAAAAAAAACAGACCATCATGGGTTGCAACCCTCTCCGAGAAGTTCACTATTGACACTGTGCCTTCTGGGACTGCTGGCACTTTGCAACGAACAAAGGGAAACAACCTACAGAGGATCCAAAGTGTTAAAACTTTCAGGAGATGAACGTAAACCGGGCTGATTTCCAAACAACCAGGGATCAGCACCACCAGCGGTTCACCCCCAGCGTGGGCTGGATGAACAACAAGGCAGCGATGGTCACATGTTATAATTTGACAAGCAAAACAGTGACCCCTGGCAGGCAGCCGCAATTAAAGGTCTCCTCCCCTGCAGGCTGTCAACTGGTTTGGAACCAGCCCCCCGTCGGCCAGGCTGGAGCCGTGCGCTGTGGGAGACGGGGAACTCTTTCCTGGGAGCGCGCGTGACCTACTCACACTCCGCTTTGATGGCGGCGCTGTTGATGGGCACGAACGGCCGGCGAGCGGCTCTCCTTGGCTGTAGCAGCGCCCGACAGAGGTAGCGGGCGAGTCTGGTCAGCTTCGCGGTCTGCAGGTAGAAGGCCTGTTTGGTCTTCAGGGTGTACTTGGGGTTGGCGTTCTTCACCCAATAGCTGAAGGGAGCCTGTGAATACCCACAATCCTCCGTGAGATGACATCACTTCCTGTAGGTTTCCCCACATCTCTTCACCCTGGTCCCCTTTCTGCACTGTTTTACTTTCTAAAGTGTGATCTCGAATGATTCACCAAGATGCAAAGTGTAACATTTTAAATTTCAAGTCACCAAATTTGGCAGATTTGCTTTCATAGATACGCATGCAGAATACAACCTGGGCTGGAGGAAAGAAACTTCGTACCACAATTTCAACCAGTAGATAGGAAATAGACCTACAGCGGTGTGCAAAAACTACCTCAGAAATTCAAAGCATTTCCTTCCACCATTGGATTCTATTTCAAAGGCAAAACTCTCTTTTTTAAGTACAGGAATCAACAACAATCACTTGCTTGGTGAAAATGTACAATTTTACTGGATGTAAATCTTTCCTGGACTTGAGACTGGAGAAAGGCAGGTTAAGAAACGCAGATCCACCTCTCACTAACCATACTGTTTCTGGCGGGGCCTGGTCTCTCTCCTTCTAGCCTTGTGGGCATCTTTAGGCCACCATACTTCTTCCAGTAGCTCCAGCAGATGGCACACAGACGGCACTGCATGTTGGGTGGACCCCAGGAATACCACTGATAACACTGGATGGCTGAAGGTACAGAGAGGCACAATTTTATACCACAATTCTGCAATTATCTGTATGCGAAAAAAACATACAGGACCCAGAACTATAGAAATATTACATTTTCCAGCAAAACCTCTTCGTCCTGCGATGTCATTTTTCATCTGTACAGTGGAAGAAGAGACCTGAGCTGCGTTTTTGTCAGCACAGTGGTCAAGACCAGCTGTTTTCATACAAACCTGCATTAATAGTTGGCAACCCTACAGGGGCTCAGTGAAGACTTCCTCATTGTTTGCACATCTTGACTGAGTTTAACCTCGTGCAGTAAAACAAACAAGGATGCTGTTCCTTGGAATGACTTGAAAAAAAGACATCACAACACCAGAAACGCCATGAACAGTACACGCAGGGTGGCTGTGTACTCACAGTAACAGCTCTCGCACGCCCAGCCAGCATTTCCACTCGGACCCTGGGAGCTGGATCCATTGACCAGGCCCGTCTTGGCGTTGTTCACGTTGATCTGGTTGGGGTTGGGCTTATTGCTTCATAAACACAAGGGGAACCAAAACTTCAGTCTCCATCCTTCCACCATCAAACACGAAAGCAACAATAAAATATGTTTATTGCAAAATAGCAAGAAATATTTTCAGTCCTTAACTTCCTCAGTTTGAAAAAGCAAAAACTGCCCCCAAGATGCATGAGAGTTAGCACAGTCTGCACTGATGGAGTTCACCTGAACAGGGGAAGCTCATCAGAAAGGTATGTCATACCTACTTCATGTGCACTTAAAGGTGGTAATCCATGCTATTTGAAAATATGACCAAATCAATGGCTTTTTAACATGTAGCAGCCTATTTTGTATTATTTGACATTCAGGGACTTAAGATAAGAACTTTTTTCCTGTCACGTTGCACAAATATAAAAGGCAGGAAACTTGGAAAATGTCCAAAAAAAGGTTTTTGCAAGCCACTTATTATCCAACACCATGATGCATTACAGATCAGTAACTGCAAATTCGCAGATGATCGAGGACGTTAGTTTCCCATTTCTAGCTGTAACAATAATGGACAGACAATTCTGGCTGTAGGTCCAATTCCAGTGCCCAGCCATTCTTTTCCATCAATGTGGGTATCTGATCCAACCAATGCAGCATCATTTACTTGGAAACCTAAACCTCATGTGCTTCATATCATAGGACAATTCATCTACTGCAATGCAAAGCAATGTAGACTTTAAACATCCATTGAACACTTGATAGGATCATTCTCCTGATCTTTAAAAATGCCATTTACCCCCCAAAAAGCAATTTAAAGGGAAAATTACAAACCCAGAACCAGGCAGCATGTTTGCATTGGGCCCCATGAATTTGCATGAACAACCAGTTTTTCCCGGTGATTATAATTCCTTACATACAGTGCTTTTCATCACAAAGGATCCCAAAGGGCTTTACATACAGAAATGGACTGTGCAAACTGAGTCAAGCGTGATCTTTCAGTAGGCCAGACTAAACAAGCACAGAGTGAGCATCAGCCATGTCATTGGGGTTAATACCACTAATCTTACAAAGTGTGCCATGAGACCTTTACTGACCCAGCAGCCAGGACTCCATTTTAGGGTCTCATCCGAAGGATGGCACAACGTCTACAGTCAACATATTGGGGTATGGGCCTGGAAACTCTAGCCCAGAAGGAAGAGCGCCACCTACAGGTCCACCAACACCAGCTGCAGCAGCAACCTAGATTTCCGTGGAGGTCTCCCATCCCAGTACTGACCAGGCCCAGCCTTGCTTAACTCCCGAGATCTGGGGAGATCGGCTAGAAGGTGGTGCTGCTTATACCATTACGTCGTTAGTACTTACACAGTCAAACAAAAGGCTAAACATCTTTAAAGTTTCAAATAAATCTTTACAGAAAAAAAAGAAAAAACCCACTTACTAGTTTGGGATGTAAACTTGCTTAAGTCGGCTCTCTGCTTCTGCTGCCTTTAGACGTTTCTGAAGAAGGATAAAGAACACATGACCCACCAGTCAGGGTTTCTTGCGTTTCTTGGTATGCAAATGATATTACCGACAGGCCACAGAGACGTGCCTTAAGCCTCTGAGTATGTTTATCATTATTGATTATTGATCAATTATTGATTAAGCTTCAAATGAAATAGGTTTCAAGGAATGGAGAGGTGCTAGAAATTCTAACTGTGCATTTAGGAAATCTGTCCTGCCTTTAATGTTAACCAGCCAACACTCCTGGGTTTTAACGGGCTTCGACTGGTTTCTTTTTTTATGCAAAATTAAGGCTCGCCGGTTTCTTGGTTGTAAAAATTGTGCATTGCCCAGATCTTGCTTAGGAACCCCATGACCTCACGGAGGGGAGAATGAGGATGCGCAGGCAGACCCCTCTGATGCCCCACATCTTCAAGTCACTCAACACATCACGGGCAGCGTGAGCCCCTGCAGGAGTCTCAGTGCCGACTGGAGGAGAGGTACAGCCTTTACCTATAGTACCCCTTGTCTGCAAGCACCCAGGAGACTACAGTGGCGCTGACAGAGCCCTGGATGACTTTGAACACTCTACCTTCGTAGGCCAACTGTGAGCTGCCACTGGGGGAATCCCAGTTACAGTTGGCTATTGACCTGATCCAGGCTCGAATCCACGATCAAAGAGCTTAGCCTTCGCCTGGGCTTTGAGCCACCTGGAAGCCTCGTGAATGGGTCTCTTTCTAAATGGTCGTAGGATATATTCTTATGCCATTACCTACCAGATCAGAGAATTTAACTTTGAGCATAGGGTAAAGGAACAAACACCTACCTGTTGAACGTATCTGTCTGTGGTCTTCCACATGTAGTAATACTCTATAATACTGGTCAAGGATTTCCAAGGAAGCTGTAAACAAAATGAATTAGGATCGGTTCATGGATATATTAGTCATGTGAACAGGGAAGAGCAATACAGAAACTTTTATAGAATGTTTAACTGAAGTCACTGTAATGAAATACATGCGACTTGTTGGCGGACAGTGAAAATTTCATTTTTAACAAATGATCTGAACTGTAATTGGCAATTAAAAGCACACGCATTTCACTACCTTCACATAAACAATGTATTTTCATGAGCTCTGCTTTACCGCAAAACTAAGAAATCAAAAGTGAATCTGAATGCGAGAGCTGTGCTTCACGTTTGGTGATAAACGGCCCATTCTTCTGAATCCGCACAGTCAGAACAGCTCAGCCACGAATGAGTAAAGTAGTTCCAGTAGATCAAAATCACACTAAGAACGGGCTAGCACAGGGACAAGCAGTAAAATGACACTGAACTGCTGTCTTGATTCATGCACACAACGATGCACGTGTACTCTGAACACACGCGTACTCACTGCTCATGAACCCCACGAGCTGAGAGGAGCCTAATCATTTGTACTCAGCAGGAACCTTTGCTCTGGAAGCAGTCAGTTGATCAGACAACAGCCGTGCAAGGATGCACTGTAAGGCAGTTCACAAGGTCTTTCCAGGAAGCTCCTGGAAGCATAGTCCTGCGGGCACAGTCCCGTCACAGCACCGAGGAAACGGAGCTCGGCTTTGCTGAAGACGGGACTCTCCACACAGGCTGCCCCTATGCAAGGGCTTGAAGCACTTCAGGTTCTGCAACTGCAAGCTCCTGTAAGTAAGCCAGTGCAGATGCAGGACATTTGAATTTATGAGTACAGCGTGCACCAACCAAGACACTGAATACGAGCTTTGGCTTTTCAGCTGTTCTGGCACCGCCTGTAGGAGAGCTTGCGGCTCATTCAACCCCGGCCCCCCGAACAGGTCAGACCACTACAGAACGGCAGTCGGATTTCCGTCCCCGAGCGGCTTCTGCAAGGGGGAAGCGCACCGCGACTACGCAACGTACAAAGTCCTGCCTGATGTCGGCAAAGTCCTTGCCATATTTCTCCAGCGCCTCTTCGAAGAGGTTGGCCTCGGAGGCGGACCACTCCTCCATCTCGTCCCGGCACAGGACCGGCCCGCCCTGCGGCACCAGAGCCGTGATGGCCCGCGACATGTCGTAGCCGGTCCGGTGCAGCGTGTCCATGGCGTGGAACTGCGAGGGCGAGAAGAGAAGAGGCTCGTGGTTTCATGAACAATAGGAGGCTCAGGGCTGTTTCAATAATACACTAAATACCAGGGAACGTAGAGAAAGCCCCCTTATACACACTGTAAACTTATTTTATAAACAAACCGAGGAAAGACCAAAGTCTGTTCCACCTAATTTGGTTTAAATGAGTCTCGTGTCTGACAGCCAAGAGCCATTATCTCTACCCTTCAGCACCACTGCCAGACTAATAGGTCTGCCAGACGAGAGGCCATTAAGGGAGAGGAAACAGGAGAAAAGGTCAAGGTGAACTCCTGGGAGCTGTCATGAAGTCAATCAGGAGGTTGAAAGTTATCTGAAACTTAAAAGGCCTCGAGAGCAGCCGAGCTGTCCCAGGGCCGACAGGATGTTGCTGGGCTGGGCTGGGCTGGGCTGGGCTTACCAGGGTGATGTCCCGAGAGGCGGCGGCCGCGCTCATGTGAAGGCTGGGCTGTCGGATCGAGCTGCTGCAGTCCAAAGCACGGGCGAACGTACCCACAGAGCTGTGGCACCGAGAGAGAGAGAGAGAAGGAGAGGGTGGAAGTTTAGGGTTGGCTCAGAGGAGCCTGGAAATCGAGCCCTGATTGGGTGGCCTGCGGCTGAAGGCAAAGGGGTTGTCACCCAAGGTCATGTGGCGCACGCCCAGGCTCTGTCACTGCTAAATACTAAGCATCAAAGAAACCCAGTGCGGAGCGTCACTCAGTTAACATCATCCCCACTGTCAACCATGATGGCATCAACATTATATTACAGGTCTGCTGCTGATAAGCAGGGGCAAGAAAGCTTGTGAAGACTAATGTGAACATAGATGAGAAAAGTACCAGCAATTCTTAAGAGCAAATCCCACTTCAGCATCGCCTGAAACCGGGGCAAAAATTCACCTTTCAGTAGGACGGTGATCCAAAGCTACACTGGAGGAGCTTAAGAATAATTAATTGAACGGCCTTAACTGGCCCCAGTCAAAGTCCTGACGTGAATCTGTTTTGAGAATCCATGAAGACTCCTGTCCTTAAGTGATCCCCAAGCAACATCAGAGAGCTCAAGCCAAACTGCCGTGTAAATTGGGCACAAACCGTACCAAGAAACCAGTTATCAATAAATTCTTCCCTTTTCAAATGTTACAGCTCATCTGAGCGCTTACCGTGCAATTACCAGAAACTGGTCAATCTGTTTATCTGTAAGAGGGCTCTCGGGTTCCCAGATTTTTGTTTCTAACTCGGCCTGGTCTCTGCCATCTTCCTCCCCTGAAACAACAAAAAGGCGTTTTTTTTTAAATAATTATTAATAATAGATGCTTTCCAGTTTTTTTTCCTGCTTCCACCACAATGCTCAATTGACATTACTTCTGTTTATAGACTGCCATGGCAAAGTGGTTAACCTATAAGGACTTCATAGGCAAGACCCTCCAACAGTACAAGCACGTCCTGTTCTCCTCCAAGCGCTTGCTTGTTTGCACACCGCGAGCTCGACGATACCTTCCAGCAGAGCAACAATCTGTGTGACGTGGACTGAGTGCTGGGTGACGAGCAGTGAACCCCACGACACACAGGGGGCACAGCGTTCACGTTCCACAGGCCTCCCTACTACACTCGGAGCAAAAGAAAGCCTTGACTGTGAAAACACAGGGGAAGCAGGGCGTTTGTGAACACCAGCCAGCATATAAACTGATATATCCAGCGGCTATATCGCCCTGCAGCTCACAGCATGCAGCCCACTGAAGCTCAGCAGGTGTGAGCCTGGTCAGTATCTGGACGGGAGACCTCCTGGGAAACACTAAGGTTGCTGCTGGAAGTGGTGTTAGTTTGGCCAGTAGGGGGCGCTCCCCCTGCAGTCTGTGTGGGTCCTAATGCCCCAGTATAGTGATGGGCACACTATACTGTAAAACGAGACCCCGTCATTCAGTGGAAGCATGAAACCAAGGTCCTGACTCTCCAAGTTTGTTAAAAATCCCACTGCATTTCTTTGAAAACAGTAGGGTACGTGTAATCTTGGTGTCCTGGGTAAATTTCCCCCCTGGGCTTTACCCATCATGGCCTCCTAATAATCCCCATCTCTGAACTGGCTTCATCACTCTGTTCTCCTCCCACTGAGAGCTGGTGTGTGGGGAGAGGACTGGTGCTCTATGGCTGCCGTCGCATCACCCAGGTGGGGCTGCACACTGGTGGTGGTGGAGGGGATCCCCATTACCTGTAAAGTGCTTTGAGTGGAGTGTCCAGAAAAGCGTAATATAAATGTAAGGAATTACTAATTACCTGCAACCCAGGGTCAGATTTAAAGCGACTGAAAGTTGCTCAGTTCTCCTTTTTGGTCTGGTATAAAAGAAGTTATCTAGAAAGCTCTAAAAATAAAGCCAGAAGAGACGAGAAGATTTCCGCAAACAGTGGAAAAGCCTCCATTTTCTTAGCAGCTTCAGTGCTGCTGCAGGGGGGACTGGACTGGACTGGACTGCACACAGAATCGGCCGACAGGCTGCAATGTCTTGTCACTCCTTTGCATCAGAGTGCAGACAGAATAGATGGTGCGCCTTTCAGAAGTGACGAGTCAGCAAAAGCAGAGAGATGGTGTTATTAGGCAACTAAATCTAGTTTGCTGTACTTTGAGACGGCAGTCATTTACAATCCAGTGAAAAGAATGTAATCTCTATATGATGGGGGGGGGGGATCTGCCTGTGCCTACCTTCATTCAGCAGATCCGTAATATCAGCCTGAAACCTGGGTCCGACTCGGATTTCCCCCTTGTCTGCAAGGAGTGTCTTTTGCTGAGGGTCGTACACGAGGCAGTAGAAGAAACAATCCTGGGGACGAAAGCTGAATGAGCAACAGGACCTGTGAGGGGAAGCTACCATGACACTGGCTGTACGTCACGTTCTCAACATCCCCCATCCTACAACAGGGCACGCCGCTTCCTTCTTCCTCCTGACAGCCTATTAAACAGTCTGCGAAGACGAAGGCGGCCTACATTCCAGAAACGAACTCCGAAACCCCCGGGATGGCGCGGATCTTCACTGAAACCGGCTGAGCGCACACAAAAGGGTGTTTTTTTTTCTCCCCAGGAATGTGCCCAGCCCCTCCTGATATCTGAGCTGCGAGTGAAACACGGCGCCAAGAGCCTCAGGAACCCAAGACAACTTCTGCTCGCAAGAGTTACAAAAGCAGCTCCGAGCGTAAAAGGAGGGGCCGGGCTGAGGTTTCTCCTCGAGCAAAAAAAAAAAAGCCGTCTGACAGGGAATGCCGTCTCGGGGGTCCCGATAGTTTCCAGCGCGCTAAAAATAGCAGCGCCAACGCACGCAACAGGTACACGCGGGGATCCGCGCAGCTAGCTGTTTAGCTGCTGAGCCGGCACATCGTCATGGGAGACGGAGCAGCCTTCTGGATAAGTGGAATACCCATTGTGAGTGGATGGCCTCTTCCACTTACAGCTCGCCGAGGCTGAACAGAGACCCCAGAGACGGCTCTCACTCCTCACACGGGCATTTCCATTCTGATGCCACTTTGGTCTTTTTTTCTTTTGAGCCCAAATTCTCTCTCGCATTTTTTTTAAGATGCCCCCTGTTCAAAACCGGGAAGCCTGCTTTTCTCTGCAAACTGAGCCGAAGAAGCACCTTCATCGCTCTTCTGCCCAATGTTAAAATAAAATGTCATGAGAATACAAACAATTGGTCTTGCTCAACAGGCCGAGAGCTGGAGGGGAAAAGAAGTGAGACCGTTCTCCAGTTCTGAGAGCGGGGTGGTTTAGATTTCAATCTTACCTCTTTTTCCAGATAGGAAAACAGAGCCTCTGTCTCATTGAGAAGGGTTACACAGCACTTTCCCCTAAGCAGAAAAGCAAAACAAAGAACCACAAGGAATATAAAAAATGGATGCAAGTTCTGCATAGTATTTTTCTTTCCTATTCTTTTAAAATCAGGAGATTGATGATATTCCATTTTTTCACAAAATGAAGTTCTACTCTCATGCAACAAAGCATCCAAGTAAAACAGAAATTTAGCAGTGGCTATTAAAAAACAATCAGACCTTGATCACAAATCAGGGTAACTGTACTTGGGTTACATCCAATGAAAAGCATTCAAAGCAGTGTAATTCAGAATATAATTTAATCCACTCCAAATAAAGACCAGGTAATAACAAAAACAAGGCTTAACAATTTTATAAGTCTAGTCCAATTTTATTACTCTTTGAAAGAGCTGCACCAGCTCTTTCAAAGATTTAACTGTTTAGATCAAGTTAAAAAAAAAAGAAGCAAAATATTTTGCTCAGAAACTAAGAAGCTTTCAGAAAAACCTGTCTCTTAGTGGCCAGGCATGGGCTGGGATTTTCCGAGGGTCTGAGATCTTTGCCGCAGCTTTGGAAAACAAAAGCAGAGAGATCTGGGCTGGCGTGGAGGTCCGCTCTCACCGGATGTGTGTGGCCGGAAGGGACTCCAGTTGCCGGGACAGAAAGAGCTCTCTGTGCTTCAGCTGGTGCCTCTGCTTCTCGGTCAGCTGCTGCAGGCTCTCGCCTTCCATCTCCTCTTCCAGCTCCTCTGCAATTAACCCAACGGGCGGCGCCGAGGGTGAGGGGAGAGACCACAGAAAGTCAACTGTACTGGGTAACCTCAAGGTGGGACGGGCAATTCCTTTCTTACAGCACCACAGGGCTTGGGGTGTCTGTGGCAAATTAGACCCTGATTACACAATGGAGGTAATTACTTGAAGTTTTAAAAAAAACACCATTTTTTTAAGTCCAAAGCCAGGTGTTAATTGAAAGGTAAAAGTCTGGAACCCAAGTTCTCCAGGGGTGTATTTTTGGCCTGCATATACCCAACCTTCCTTCTGCCCGTCTTCTTAAACACACAAGGTAGGGATAAGTGTTGAGTATCACGAGCAGCAGGGGTACTTAATTATTTACTTATCCGAACACGGTAATTAAAAATGATGAGCGTTCACAATCCTTAAGGCTCCTTGCCTTAGCACAGGCTGAGATCATGATCACGGGTTCGAGCCTGGGTCATGTTACCAGCCAAATGTGACCAGGATCTCCCAACCAGCGGCAGACAACTGCTGCTCCCGAGGACAGAATGTTTCTAGCTGGCCAGGGCTCTCAGCAGGCATGTGCAGCTGGAGATCCCTAAGATCACCGAGAAAGGCACACTCCTCCTCCGATCACACAAGGCTGTGCTGCCTGGGACGTGTTAAAAGAGGAGTGGTGGGTGGGGTTAAAGGAGTCTCCCTCAGTCTCCCCTATGCACAGTCATGCGCCAGAAATTTTGAAACCAAATTTTTTTTTAAAAAAAGATCACAAGTGGGACTTTGAGAGCTCTCAAAGACCAGAGATGAGTAACCCTAGTCTAAGACAGAGGTCTACACAAAAGGTCTCCATCTAATGTTTATTCCCATTAGTATTACCATCATTTTCAACTATGCTACACCAGCTTATAAAAGTGAATTTTATTTCTCTCATAGGCAACCTGAAGCTCGTGCAGGAACATCAAGGCAAGCGCCTTCCGATAAAGTGTTGAAAAAAAAAGCATCAGCAGGATGCCCGCCCGCAGATTCACCCTATCCAGGAGCCTAACATGGCTGCCTGGAGGTCCATAGTAACCTTGTGTTGTTGTTGCTAAGTGAAGCAGGAAATAGAGTTGATTACATAGCTGGCAAAAAGTCACATGACTGTGAATTGTGTCATCGCGGCTTGGCCGCGCGCCAAGACAAAGGCAGCGCAGGAGAGGAAGCAGGAGCCGGCAGGAGAGGGAGGGGAGGGGGGAGAGCCTGTGGAGGAAGAGGCTCCCCTGCGTGCCAGCCGTGAAGTCACAGACTTTCCTCTCATTGACACAGCACACGGGAGCCCGGCTTCACCGCGGGCCCTACAGCGCTCGGCCTGTCGATCCGCTCCTGTTAACATCGCCGAGGGAGAGAGCTCGCGCTGTTCCGACGTGAACGCAACTAGATTTCGCAGTACCGTTTTAAAATGCCAGGCCGGGATGAAGTACAGCTCTCAGAGCTCTAAGCCTTAATATGTTCTGCATTTTGCTGAGAAATAAAGTGAGGCAGGAGACGAGCATGGACTGCTGTGACTCTGAGTTAACAGAAAACTGCTGTAATAAAACTACTGCACCTGCATCAGTCTCTATTATCCAAACAAAGACTCTTTAATCCATAGTTTTATGCTAGGATTAAAAAATAAATAAATATTATTATATCACCTGAATGTGGAAGCAATGATAGTTACACAAATGTTCTCTATTCACTCCGTACCAGCTCTGGAGGGTAGAAAGTCCAGCGAGCTGCACAGGTCATGCTAAACAGGGGATTTCACAGCCCGAACAACAGTCCAGACTCGGACCCGAGCCGAACAGAGTTCAACTCCCACAGTTTGCTTACTCCACCACAAACAGAAAGGCCACCCATTAAGACAGCGTGGCTGAGCGCAGACAGCAGACAGATGTTCTGGGAAGCGATTTCCCTCCCTGGTGCTCTCCTGGTGCCGGGAGAGAAGACGCTTTCAAGTAAACACCAGAGGCTCCAGCAGACCCAGCACAGTGGGTCTTCGCTGCCACCAGAAGACAGCCCCTTGGACCTCTGTAGCCCAGGAGATATACCCATCTCTCATTTTCAATCATGGCATGTGATAACACTACACATCCTAATGCACCTTGAAGGGTTGCTCTAAAGTAAAAATGAGGTGCAGGTATCTGACGGTTTGCATGGTCAACAGGAGACACAGTTCAGAGAGAGTTATCAGGCCAGGAAAGTGTTTGCTGGTACAGGTCTTTCAAACAGGACAATTTCTATCCAAGGAACAGGCAGTCCAAACAGCAAAGCAGGAGACTGCTTCAATTTCAGCATAGTTCCCCATGTGGCCTTTAAACAAATTATAGCATACAACAAAGAAAGTCTAAGGCACCGGGGGAATGCATGCAATGTTTTCATGTCACACAAAAATTGTCAAGAGTGATGAGCCATCCTGAAGATTAAGGAGGAAAGAAAATAACTGGAAAAAACTGAAACAACTTGCTCAAAACAGGAACGTATTCTCCTCAGTTTTGTTTCTGTTCCATTGTACAATTAACCATGCTCCCCTACTCAACACTTACAAGAGCACAAAAACGACCACCAAAGAAGTCATCATTTCCTGATTTTTCTTCCTACATGAGGTGAACCGAATGCTTAAGATTCTTTGGACCTTTTTCATTTTCATTTTTAATTTGCCCGACCACAATATTTCCCAGCGAGCTTATTTTTACTTACCAGGTAAGGTGACTTTGCAGTGCATAACAACACTGCCATTAAGTCAAAGCAATGCCAAGAACCAGCAGTGACCAACACTGAACACACGCCAATCTAAATGTAATAAACATACCCTATCACGTCTTCAGAAGCACAGCACTTCTCAAACTTGGTCACTGCTGCGGGTTTGTGAGGGGAAAGACTGGTGGACATTCTGCCAACCAAGATATCAGTTAGCATGAAAGACCAATGCCAAAAAACTAGCCTGAAAAGGTGCAGTCCTGCAGGTTCTGCTGACCCCTTTGAACCACATGGACCCCCCCTAGCAAAGCTGAAATGAAAGCCCCTTTCAGGAAGCACACCACCCTCCACAAGGGAGCACTCACTCGCATGTTTGTCGGCCAGAGCGATGAGGTTGCTGGGGATGTCCCTCCGTCTGTAGAAACACACCACTTTGGCCTCCACATTTCCATTGGCAGTCTGAGAACAGGAAGAGGAGCAAGCCGGTTACCAGGCATGACAAAGACACATGAGAAACGGCACATATGAATTCAAATTCATTTCCGCACAGAGGAGGAGTCAAACGTAGCCAATTTACTGGAACACAAAAACAAGCTAATATTGGCATCAGGAAAAAAAAAATCCACTTGCTGCAACGTCACTCAAGTGCAGTTCAGTAATTTTCCTAATATTTCAAGGTTTCCGAACATGAGGTCATTACCTTATTCTGACCCTGCTTGCCGTATTGAATACTTAAAACCCTAAATTGTAATGTGAGCACAAGTTAAAGGAACAGCAATTCTGTTGTCCTTTATGTTTCCTAGCTCGGAATTCTGCATGCACAGAAAATGATCAGGGTAGACGGTGCAGGATGACATCAGTTTAGACCTGTCCTACAGCTTCTTTTGCCGGTACTCATGGATTTGCAAGCAATTAAATTCATTTGCTCTCAAAGTCAGGGCAAGTTGCAGAAGATCATCCAGCAATCGGGGTTGATAAATCAACTTAATCTCCCAAAATCCCATCTGAAAATGTGATGATATTATTCAGCACTGGGTGGATTTGCTGTGAATTGACTAGATGCAGAGCAGGGGTCCAGGAGGTCCACTCTGTATAGACTGTACCAAGTTCAGAGTGCAGCTCAAGGGCTGCACCTCCTGGCTCTCTGCCATTGGTCTCGCAGAACGCAGTGGAACACTTTTCCCCATAGAATTAGGAATTCCAAGTCCGTTTTCCAATCGATCCTTGACACTTGATCGTTTCAGAGCGTCAAGTGCTTTTCCTACAGATTTGTTCTCATTATAATGATTCTACGGTCTAGTGTTCTGAAATTATTTGATGAAAGGCACTTTAGAAATAAAGGTTTTTGTTATAATAAGCATGCTAACTTGTAATATGCAAATAAAAACAACACAAATGAGAGTGTCTACATTTACATGTAAAGCTGACCGAAAGATCCCCACATTCACAGTGGTGGTGGTTATTCCAGGTCCTGATGAGCTCCAGTATTTACTGGCTGCTTTCAATCAATTAAGCATGAAAAATAATAAAATAAATGCCACATTAGCCACAAGAGGGATGTGCAACTCCAAGGACACACTCCTGTCAGTATCCGTCACCCTCATTTGACAGTGACCCACAAGGACTTCATCAGAGATGGTGCAAGGCTCTTGCTCGGAGAGAGAATGAATGTTTAAGGCAAAAAGTATGTCTCCCATCAACTGAATGTTTCCAGGCTCAGTCATTATTTACTATTAATTTATACAGTTATGGCATTCAGTATCGCAGCACTTTCCTGTAGGGATTAATGCAATAACTATCATACTAACAGTAGATCTGCGTCTGTGGCTGGAAGGTTGCCAGCTCGTATCGCTCTGCCGGGCGTGGAATACGAACCAGCAACCTTCCAGCCATAGCTGTATAATTATTAGTAAATAATGACTGCTCCAGGGGTACTGTATAAATGGCTGACCCTGCGCTCTGACCCCCAGCTTCTCTCCCTGTCTGTGTGTCTCATGGAGAGCAAGCTGGGGTCTGCGAAAAGAAATTCCTAATGCAAGAAATTGTATATGACCAATAAAGTGATCTTATCAACCCTGAAACCTGTCTTTCTGAAATGCACTACAGAGCATCCAGCCAGAGAGTTAAGAATTTAACTTTACGACCACACAAATTAAGAGTACAACAATCTCTGCTCTAACACCATCAGTTTATAAAGACGTGGGGAAAACTCATTTTTAAGCGAGTGTTTGTTTAAGGTAGTCTGAACGCACTGTATTTGACTATTGTTATGAAAGACCTGCAGGTTAATTTACAAATTACACACTTGTGGTCACCGTGGGGTTTTATTCTAAACCGGACATCTATGAAATCATCCGGATTGTAGCTTTGCAGGAATAGGGCAGGTCACCCCTGCTTCAGATAACACCAGTGTTTCCATCTGTTAGCAGTTTGGTTTTCCTTGTACAAAAAAAGTGAGCCCTGCATTTCCATTTACAGGACTGCCATCTGGCTTTCCGCAAAGCAGGGCTGTGTGACTGACCGTCCATGGTGTTTCAACAGCTCCCTTTACTACATAATTAAAAGGTATCAACCACATCACAAGAGCCACTTGCCATGCATAATTTACGATGGCAAATCCACATTTTAGTCCATCCCTGACAGATCCCAAAATATGAACAATAAACCCAAGTACAGTCCATCTATTGCAAGATCCGTTGACTCTTCTTTGAAGAGTTACCCCTCCCCACAAAAACATAGTTCCCTGCAGTGAAGACATTTTAAGATTTGTCCAGTTCGAAAAAGGTACCTTGTTCAGCTCTTCTATTCGTCTCACAGAATACGGATTGCTTGAAGAGTTTTCAAAGTAAACATAATCTGCAAAAAAATAAAAAAGAAGCTGGTTACTGCAATGTATTCTTTCTTTCCTTCCACTTCACTAAGCCGAAGTAGACAGACCAACAGCTCAACTGAAAGACGGGCAGGTAAAAGTACGAGTATTTATGGATTCGTTCGGAATTCCTGCAGGAAGTCAGCAGGCTGAGCCCTACAGTCGTCGCTGCCTCCAGGTCTGGGCTTGCTTGTCCCGTGACCTGCTGCCACTGGTGTTCCCCCAGGCGGTGCTACACAGCTCTCCGGAGTGCCTCTGCTCTCACAGGGCATTTCCTGTTCCCTGGACAGCGGCCCTGCCAGGCCGGTGCGAGGGAGGGATTTCCCTGCAGGGCAAGCTGGACACAAGTGTGCAAGCATGTGGCTCAACAAGCTCTCTCTCTCTCTCTCTCTCTCTTCCAGGTGAGGCAAATAAGACTCTCCGGCTCTTCAGACACCCGACACAGTCAAGATGCTTGATAACCTGTTATTTTCACGTACAGGAGCAGAGAGCAGTAGCACTTCCAGGTTCAAATGGAGCAAAGAGAACTCTTAGATGCTTGAGTCGCATGTGGAAAACTTGAAGAGTGGGAGCGCAGCGCCCTGAAAGAGTTCATCACAGGCAGGGCACAGCAGAGGACTGCACGGGACAGCAGAATCACAGCAGGTCACACATAGTAAGACAAGCAATAAAGCAGGGCAAAACAAAGCCAACTGACAAGATCAGCCAAGTCCAGTTTTTCTCTCGCGCTTTCAGGCAAGCGGCTGCCCACTGTGATTTTCACGCCAGCGAGGGAAGACTCCATCGGCAGGCACTGCACACTTGTCTTGATCCGCAC